CAAAAGTTCGGTCACTGGCCCTAGTTTGTTGGTCAATTGCTATCTCGAAATCAAATTTCAATAAAAAATCAGGGTGAACCCCGGCCCCCCACAAGATTAAATACACAAAGTTAATTAACTAATACATTATTACGTTAAATCGGGTATGTGTACCAATACCAATCGTCCTTATATACCTATTGTGTTAAATGTAACACATCGAAATAACAATAATCAGTATATCAACTCAAAGATAAATTAAAGGTTTTAAAATATTAAATACTCTGAAATGAAAACTTAAATATTTAGTCATCTTTATACTATTTCTATCTCAAACGCTCTAAAAAGTTAAAATTATATTTCATGTTTTGTTTACCAAAAAGTTCTGATCGTGATGAATGTTCATTTTCATGTGATATGTCATTTTCATAATTTTAAATTAGCAGTCTTATTTTAATAATTATTAGGTACAGTTAATGTCAGTTATAATTTACGCTAGCTATTTAATATAAATTACATAAAAATAATGTCCATATTTATTTACATGCTACGAATTTTGTCTGATTAAATTTTGCCTGCCAATTTTTACGTTTGATTTTATAAATTATGATGATTATATATGAATTTTATTTGATAGAGTGCTTATCTTAGAGTTAAATGTTTTTACAGGCTCTAAGGATGCAGTTTTACGAAGATTTCAAGCCTTACGTGTGTGTTTCCCTTCGTGTCCAAAAGCATTATAGCTATTTAATATAGTAAAGCAGCAACAGCGGCCATGAGTAATGTGGATAGAGCCAGTTTACTTGCTCCACTCATTTCCTCACAAGTGACACTGGAAGGTGTGAGGTAACCGTCAGAGCCGCATGTCAAGAACTTCTCAACCCCGAAACTCAAACATTTGACGGTGTATGTGGCGCCATCCTCGATTGATCCGGTGTCTGGCTCCACTATTGCGTTACTTATAGCTGGTTTGTCACAGGTCTTCTTCTGGTCGGCTTCACAAGTGATAGGGCCGGCAGGTGTCAGGTTCCCGTCAGTTCCGCAAAACAAATACTTGTCCTTGTCACCATTCGTACATTTAACGGTATATGCGGCCCCATCCTCTATTGTTGCAGTCCTGGGCTCCAGTGTTGCGTTATCTACATCAGGTTTTTTACAGGTTTTCTTCAGGTTCTCTATACAATAATAATCACCAGCGGGTGTTAAATTTCCGTCAGGGCTGCACGTAAGAAGGTCCGAAGCTCCCTGAAAAGTGTGTCCAGCCTCACATCTGATTGAAACCATTGATCCCTCAACAATTGTTGCAGTGTCTGGCTCCAGTGTTGCGTTATCTACATCAGGTTTTTTACAGGTTTTCTTCAGGTTCTCTATACAATAATAATCACCAGCGGGTGTTAAATTTCCGTCAGGGCTGCACGTAAGAAGGTCCGAAGCTCCCTGAAAAGTGTGTCCAGCCTCACATCTGATTGAAACCATTGATCCCTCAACAATTGTTGCAGTGTCTGGCTCCAGTATTGCGTTATCTACATCAGGTTTATCACAGGTTTTCTTCACCGCAGATTTGAGAGGTCCGACGTTATCCGCGTAAAGGTTATTATAATTTCCGGGTGGATAATACTGGCAGGTCACATAGAAGTTGTTGAAGGTGAAGTCATTGCGTTCAGTCTGGTAGGTGGCGTACCCGCACCTCACCTGCTTAGTATTTCTCCAAACCACTTGGGTGAAGTGGCCGGTTGCTCGGTCAGCAGCAGAGAGGGATTTCGCGTTGGTGGTGTAGTCCCAGTATTGGATTTCCGAGTACCACATGTCAGTAGATTTAACGTAAGCAGGTGATTTGGCCATCACTACGCCAGTTGTTCCCGCCATGGCGATGTTCTCCCCGTAGCCTCCTCCACTGCTATGCTTCATTGTTTTCTCTTCAGCCATCTGATCGGTCCAACTTTGAGCGATGAAGGTAACATCATCTCCTGATTCACCGTAACAGAGTGGTTCAGTGTTATCATGCAGTGCTCTCTGTGCGTTGTGTGCCGCCAAAACTGCCTCCTCTTCTGATGTGAGGGCTCCAGTCTTGCAGACTCCTTCAGCTAGGTGCAGCAGTGTGCAGAAGAGAATTGCAAGTGTAACGACCTTGGCAGTCATTTGTCTGTGTAATGTGGTTTAGTCGGTAAGTAAACTAGAAATTTATTCCGAGTGGGAATTTATTGAATGAAATCTCGTGTTAAAGAAAAGAATAGGTTTAAATAACAAGCTTTCACTAAATATAATTTATTCATAACTGTGAGGCTAACTGCGAGGCCACGAATAGGTCTATGTTTATAACAAATGGAGAATTAAATATCGTAGTCGTAAGCAGAAACTGAGAGAAACAGAAATAAGTAGGTCTCGTAAACATGAACTGGGGATGTATTTGTTTGGATTCTCTTCAATTTTTGGTTTAATCATCATCAATCATTATCATGATCATCATGATCATGAACTCACCAAAATTAACACAGATTTCCATTTCTTGGTTATTAAGTGAGCCCCATATAGATTACTGACTAGTACTTTACTTTATTGGAAGTTATTTGACTGGACATTGAGCGAACGGACATAATTTGGAACGTACATTAAAGTCAACGGTCAGGGTACCATCTACTTAGGACGTTTGATTTTATCTTTTCCTGATTGGCTTAAACCATCATTATTTACATAGTGAGCTCAGATCTTCAGATTATAGGAACCAGTGCAATGATCTTTCTCTCTCTCTCTCTCTCTCTCTCTCTCTCTCTCTCTCTCTCTCTCTCTCTCTCTCTCTCTCTCTCTCTCTATCTCTTTCTCTCAATGATATCACCTGGATCCTTTTAATTGTTTTACTTTTACAGGATTAAAGATATGCAGCGAAGATTAGAAAGGCGGTTACTTAAACAGTAAACAGGAACTAAGAGAAACAGAAAACAGGTATCGTGAACAGGAACTGAGGGACAGAACATATTTTCCAAATAGAGTCTGATGATAAAGTAATGTTTGCTTTATCATTGTGTGCGAATTTGACAAAACTTGCATTGTGCCGTAAACCTTATTTTGAACTTGAAGATATCTTGTGAGGGGAGCAACCTAATGTTCCATTTGTTTTGCGAGTGAGAAATCGACTTTAAACCACAAAACAGTTAGTTTTGCTTACTTCAGAATGTTCACAAAGGCTAGGTTTGATCCTGTTGCTTAGAAGTTCAATTAGTATTCGGTAAAGTGGACACAGAATACGTCACGTGAAAAGTTAGAAATTATAAATCACCTCTGTCCTTGCTCTGGGTATCCAACATGTTGTGATTTTCAGTCTATTGATACATATCACGAGTAACATCATCATATCTATTCAGAATAAGTGGTCAGGAAATTTATTTTTGCTGTGCTATTGAGATCGGGAAATTAAATTGCTCTAACAACATTTTTTAGTTTTACCTTAAAAGGTCAAAGATTTGGAAATAACGGTCCTGGTAATAAGGTATTACCTGGAAATGTGATTTAGATCGTATGGAATGTGACACGAGCTCGGATAGCTGATCACAACTATTAGTATTAGTCAATATTAGAGTACGATGTGCTATTGCATAACTCAGGTAATTGACGATGTCAATCCTTCGCAGAGCTTGGCGTGGCCCAGTGTGCAGTGGTGAATCTCACCGATCTAACGAAGTGGTTGTGAGAAGCATTATTGGATTTACGGCGCGGTCCAGTAGTAGTAGTACATATAATTCGCGCTACAAGTAACTTAGCTACATGTAATTTAGTTATACATTTCCCCGATAATTGTTATCTTAGGCGGGATCATAATGTGTTTATGCTATTGCGCTGTCGTACAATACAATATTTGATTTATCAACTTCGGAAGTCAGTTCACATTTCACTTGTTCTTTGTAAAATGTTTCGTGATTTATAATGTTTCTCCAGTAATATAGTGCTGAGGACTAATTCCGATCCTTCACTGTTTTATATATTCATAACACGAACACAAAACAATATAATTATTATAATCGAACTTTACAAAAATCCGAAGTAGTTAACAAATACAATAAACATCCTATAAAGATCTGATAAAATAAGGTTCGAGGCAATATGTCTCACTCTCAGTCAAGTCTTTTGTATTACTATTACTATTATTTAACACGAACAATACATTTTTAGTATAATATTAAACCAAATCAAAAGTCTGGATAACATTTTTTTATCCAGCAAACAATGTAATGAGACAAAATTTGAATTATTCAATGTTTTTTGTCTTTTCGTCTTCTGCCGTCTACTGTCGTCTCTTTCCGTATCCTGCCGTCTCCTCTCGTCTCCTTTCGTCTTCTCTCGCTTCTTCTCGTATTTTCTCGCCTCCTCTCGTCTCCTCTCGCCTCCTCTCGTCTTCTTCATCTTACAGACACCAATACCAGTACTGTTAACAATTCCTATTGTATTGACTAAACCAACAGAGCGATTCATTTGAATTGTTGGATGCAACTTGTTAAGTTTGCATGATGCATCAATTTGACTGATTGTTCCCTATTGTGTGCGTGCACGTTAAATTCTATGGTGTTTCCACATCGTGAAATTGGACCTATACTTATAGTCAAAATGTATTTGTTCCTTTTTGCTAAAGTTATCACTGCTTCAAGCTTATTTTTTTTATTTTCAAACATGGCGAAACGCGATTATCGAAGATGACCACTCGATATTGATGATACACATCATGAATCAATAAATCATGAAACTGATAGTTTCGATTGTCAAGATAGGGAGGAATTATGTTTTTAACTTATCGTTAAATAATGTGCTCGATTATCCAGCACAAATGCGGCATACCGAAGTTGATAATATTGTTATTGTTAATAAATTTACACTTTCTATTTTTCCTGGACTCCAGCAGAGTTCGGAGTTATCAATTAACACTTTAGTAATTTATACTAATCTTTTTCTTTAACAAGAGATTTCATTCAATAAATTCCCACTCGAAATAAATTTCTAGTTTACTTACCGACTAAACCACATTACACAGACAAATGACTGCCAAGGTCGTTACACTCGCAATTCTCTTCTGCACACTGCTGCACCTAGCTGAAGGAGTCTGCAAGACTGGAGCCCTCACATCAGAAGAGGAGGCCGTTTTGGCGGCACACAACGCACAGCGAGCACTGCATGATAACACTGAACCACTCTGTTACGGTGAATCAGGAGATGATGTTACCTTCATCGCTCAAAGTTGGACCGATCAGATTGCTGAAGAGAAAACAATGAAGCACAGCAGTGGAGGAGGCTACGGGGAGAACATCGCCATGGCGGGAACCACCGGCATAGTGATGGCCAAATCACCGGCTTACGTTAAATCTACTGACATGTGGTACTCGGAAATCCAATACTGGGACTACACCACCAACTCGAAATCCCTCTCTGCTCCGGAAAATGAAGCAACCGGCCACTTCACCCAAGTGGTTTGGAGAAATACTAAGCAGGTGAGGTGCGGGTACGCCACCTACCAGACTGAAAGCAATGACTTCATCTTCAACAACTTCTATGTGACCTGCCAGTATTATCCACCCGGAAATTATAATAACCTTTACGCGGATAACGTCGGACCTCTCAAATCTGCGGTGAAGACAACCTGTAAAAAACCTGATGTAGATAACGCAATACTGGAGCCCAGCACTGCAACAATAGAGGATGGGGCCGCATATACCGTTAAATGTACGAATGGTGACACGGACAAGTATTTGTTTTGCGGATCTGACGGGAACCTGACACCTGCCGGCCCTATCACTTGTGAAGCCGACCAGAAGAAGACCTGTGACAAACCAGCCATAAGTAACGCAATAGTGGAGCCAGACACCGGATCAATCGAGGATGGCGCCACATACACCGTCAAATGTTTGAGTTTTGGGGTTGAGAAGGTCTTGACATGCGGCTCTGACGGTTACCTCACACCTTCCAGTGTCACTTGTGAGGAAATGAGTGGAGCAGGTAAACTGGCTCTATCCACATTACTCATGGCCGCTGTTGCTGCTTTACTATATTAAATTGCTAGCGTACATTTATAATTGACATTAACTACACATATCATTAAAAATTAGACTATCAATATAAGATTAGAATTAGGAACTTGGCAGACAAAATGAAAATGAACATTCTTGGCGATCAGAACTATGTGGTAAACAAGACATTGATCATAATTTAGACTTTTTAGAGTGTTTGAGTTAGTATGAAAATTTTGAGAAAATTTGTATTTTAGTCTCCCGTTTAACATAATAATACTGATTATTTTGATTTAACTGTGTTATCACAATGCTGGCAAGGATTACCGTGCCTCTTATATTCATTCATACTATTTACCCCCTTTACTATTTACCCCCTTTACTATGTACCCCTTTAATTTTATTGTTTGTCAGGCTTTAATAGTCTATGTATAATACGCTAATATAAGCGCCATGAGTTGGCACAGAATTTTTTGTCTCTGATTTTGATAAATTTTGTACCAAAAGTTGCCTCTAACTGAAAATTCACCGTGTAGCACGATAACGTCGAGCTATATCACTGTGGACCTCTTGTGCATTGCAAGAGTGTACAAAGGACGAAAAATGGATAATTTATTGCTTAAAATGCCTAAAATATTGAATATTTTAAAATAATTCTTACAAGATCGTAATAAACTTAGTCAAAATTATAATATCTAAAGCATCAAAATTTCCAAAAAAATCGAAAATAATTTTCCTTAAAATCTTAAAATATTAATACTAAAAGTTTTGTCTCGATGAGTTGATTACGATGCCACAATAATTATGTGATAATAACTGAAAATGTGAAAGTTATAGGCCTAAAACTAAAAATTTGTGCAAAAAAAGTACGCGCGGCAAACAAGCGTTGTGTAGCATTTTTAGCAAAAATTGCTACACGGTGGATTTGTTTTATTCAAATTTTTAGACAACTTTTGGTACAAAATTTATCGAAATCAGAGAAAAGCTTGGCGCTTATTACACTGACTATAAAACTCATCGAATGTATTTCAGCAGGTATATTTAAGTTCAAAACATTATAATTCAATGTTAAAAATGACAGGAATAAGAAAGCCTGGCAAAAATCCAAACGTCCGGGGGAGGAGGTGGTTTTGAAAACTCGGACACCCCAGTGGGGAGTGACGTTCCTTAAAACCGAAGAAATTTGCGTTATAGCGTTTCGGTTGCTGTCCTATAAGTAGTCTCCAACCAATCAGAGCATTTATTAAGTGAAGATGGAAGATATCACTGATTAAGTGCTGGATCACACATCTGCAAGTAGGCGGTGCACGATAAAAATAAACTTGCTCGGATTTTCAAAATTTTTGTACTATCGTTTTCTAGAGACTGTACGAATTTTCACAGTACCAAATTTATTATACCTTTTTGGAATGATCAGTGAGTTTCTCCTAGGTGCCATATTTGATGGTGCGCGGCTTTTGGAGCAAAATTAGGTGTAAAAGTCGCGTAATTTGACGAAATTCGTTGATTTTTGTCGTATTATTCTGTCATATCTTCGGTTCCTGAACATGAATCATGCTGAAAATTTGTCAGAACCTTCCAATCATACTTAACTACCGAACCTAATTTAGTTGGGAGAGATTGGCCTTGATTAAGAGGTCTAAAAATGACAAAATAGGTATAAATTCGTTGATAACTCAAATTCTGACCATCGAAATTGCTCAAAGTCAAACTAAATTAGGTTCAGTAAAACATAAGTGTTTACGTAAGCTGACCAAATTTCAACAAAATTGTTATATGGGAAGTATTATAACTTTTCGATTGTTTCCAAAATAATGTGCTGGCCGAAATAAGAGCTAAAAAACCATTCAATGGTCAGCGCGCGCGTCTTATTGTCGATGGCGCACTGCCTACTGCAAGATCTTAAAAGGGTCATAACTCGATTAAATTGTGAACAACCAACTTGCAATTTTGGGAAAGCACTTCAATTATCAAGCCAAATAAAACCAACAAAGCGATGCAATTGAATTGTTGGATGCAACTTTGTAAGTTTGCATGATGCATCAATTTGACTGATTGTTTCCGGGAACAATCAGTCAAGTTGATGCATCATGCATTTGACTTTGTGTGCATGCACGCTAAATTCTAAACTTCTTATAGTTTACTTAATACGTGGGCTTAATAATATTGTCACGCGTGGGCAATAACAGTGCGCGAGGGCACGTATGTCATGTACGTACGTACGTTCGCAGGCACGCTCGCACGGTCGCAAAGCTACCATATACAAAAAAAAACCTCGTTCGCTAACCCTTGTCCTTGACTCTTTTGTGCCTTCGGCACTTTGAGTCATGGATCGGGGAAAAATGACAAGAATAAAGGAATGAGAAAGCCTGGCAACAATTCCCGGACGTCCGGAGGAGGGGGTGGTTTTGAAAACTCGGTCACACCAGGACATGGGGAGGGTCCAAGTAGATGGCCCCTTGGTCAACTTTCAGCTACTTTTAAAAGTCTTAAATCGTGCAGTATAAATGATAAAAAGTATTGATCGCAAGCTCAGAACCTGCACCCAGAAAACCTTACTTATACTAGCTGGGCGCGTTCAGTGTTACTATCATAAAAGTGAGTACCGTGTCTTCCCAGCGAGCTCATGCTGATCGGATCGCGCGCGCTTAAATATAATATATAGGGGTGCACGATAAAAATAAACTTGCTCTGATTTTCAAAATTTGTGTACCCTTGTTTTCTAGAGACTGTGAAAATTTTCACAGTACCAAATTTGTTACACCTTTTTGGAATGATCAGTGAGTTTCGCTTAGGTGCCATATTTGATAGTGCGCGGCTTTTGGAGCAAAATTAAGTGTAAAAGTCGCGTAATTGGACGAAATTTGTTGATTTTTGTCGTATTATTCTATCATAATCATATCTTCGGTTCCTGAACATGAATCATGCTGAAAATTTGTCAGAACCTTCCAATCATACTTAACTACCAAACCTAATTTAGTTTGAAGAGATTGGCCTTGATTAAAACTTAAAAGGTCTAAAAATGACAAAATAGGTATAAATCCGTTGATAACTCAAATTGATAATAACGAAATTGCTCAAACTTATTTAGGCCCAGCAAACCCTACCGGCCGGGGAATATCTCCAAAAGTAAAATAAATAGAACCTTCCGGTTTTCAACAAAATGTCCGTCTCGTAAATTTAAAGGAGGCTCCCCAGGAGCACAATTGGGGACAACTTAGATTCTGAATTAAACCGAAAAGTTTGATTTTTGGCTAAATTAAAGATCGCAGCTTTTAAACTTTGCAAAGTCATGTCGTTGTCATGACTACTAAACTAAATGCAGCGTGTGAAAGGTAAACTCGATGTGACGCGCGACGCCAAACGTGCTGTTGAAAATCTATCACCTCTAGCAAGCCCAGCAGGCGGTAAGGTTTTCTGGGGGTTCAGTAGAACATAAGTGTTTACGTGCGCTGACCAAATTTCAACAAAATTGTTAAACGGGAAGTATTATAACTTTTTGATTGTTTCCGAAATAATGTGCTGGCCGAAATAAGAGCTAAAAATTTAAACACAAACACAATCCAATAAAATTTGGCTCGATCCGACTATCCAAACTATTAAATAAATGCGAAAATGAACCTTCATTTGAAAAACATGAACTCGAATATTTTTCGATTTGACACTACCAGTGGTAGTAAGTCATACCAGAAAGAATTATTTCAATTGGGCACTCAATGACTGAGCTATTAAGGCCAACGTATGCCCAATGACCTTTGGCCCACCCTCTACATTGTCTCAAGTTTTCCTCCTAGGAAGGAAAAGTTATTTTTACGAGGCGAACATTTCTTTTACTTTTGGAGATAGGCCCCAGCCAGTATAAAAGTTTCCTGGGCATGTAATTGTATTTGTAATATGTAAACGATCCATTGTCAATTGTTATATGGGTTGCCGTTGTGGGTGATACAATAAACTAATAAAGAATGCCAATATTTGAGGAGCCGATAAAATTGCTCAATTATCAAAATTCAAAATTCTACTCATCACAACTAACGATATTATATTATAACCCAAACTTTTAAAGTCTTTTTATTTTCATATTTTTTTGAGGAGCCGATAAAATTGCTCAATTATCAAAATTTGTACTCATCACAACTAACAATATTATATTATAACCCAAACCTTTAAAGTCTTTTTTTCATCTTTTTTTAAGCATTTCTTAAACTTTTTTTCTAAATAAATAAACATCACTACTAGAAACTATTCATGCTACCTAAAAAATGAAAGTTATACGAAATATAATATTGATAAAGTTACAAAAATCGTAAAACAATCACGTAACAGAGGTGTTTCGTACTCTACAAACAGCTGTACTCTAAAGTCTAAAAACATAAATAGTCTACAAACATTAACACTGTTTCCTTCGCAGCAACTCTAGATAATCAAGTTCAGCACACACAGGAAACTAGCGAGAACAATTCCGCTGGCTTTGCAGTTAAAGGCGTGAGAGTAATGCCCCATATCTCCCCCCTCCTCGTTATCAGTGTCTCCCCCCTCCTCGTTACCAGTTTCATCCTCTTGCGGCGTCAACCTGTAACCGGCGATAGCTGTATAGCCACTCTGTAGCTGTATCCTTGTGACTTCAGTCAAATCTTTAAACGTATTACACGTATCAGCTGACATCTGGAAGTCCATAACTTCGACATCATTAACATGCACTGTTATCCTGTTATCTTTAAAGGCAAAAGTCCACAATTTTTGATCATCACTTGGTAGATGATCGGGAAATTCCACATAACCTGACGTGCACTGCTCTATAAAATACATAACAGATTCACCAAAATAAATCCACATATCCAGTTTGTCCGAATCGTCAAAGACTGTGATCATGAGCTCCTTGTCAGCCATAAGTGGAGAATCGGTCTTAAACTGTATAGATGCTATATCCTTAACATCTAACTCAGGCGAAAACTGAGTGCCGGATACTTTTTCTTCCATTTCTTCCCATGAGTTTGCTTCAGCTTTGTTAAGTGATAAAGAAACTATTAGCATTACTGCTAATAAATAGACCATCTCGCTTCTTCTTTTCTCCTATAAAATGAATGTGTTTCAAATTTGCAATTTAAATGATTTAGTTGTACTGCAATTAAAATATTTACAAATTTTTGAATATCAGGTAAAAACCCTTACGTGTTATCGATCACGTCGGGCAAACTAATATTAATACTAATAGCCATAGCCATAGTTGGTTCGTGCGCATTTCGCGCTTTTTAAAAACACAACGCACGAAACGATCTAAATTCACGCACTTTTAGGTACCTTTAGGGACTTTGTACCAAATAAACTTATATACAGTAAAACCCCGATTTACTGCGCCCCGATTCACCACAAACCCCGATATACCGCGGCCATCTCCTTTCCCCCAAACAAGGCTTAACATGTTTAATGTAAACAAAAAAACCCAGATTTACTGCGAACCCCAATTTACCGCGGATGTTTCCTTCCCCCAAACTCCGCAGTTATTCGGAGTGTTACTGTAGTACACACACCATCGGACACTTTCACGTAATTTCAATCATTATCTATATCAACAAATTGTTTTTCCAATTTGTTAGTCACTATAATTAGCTAATTATCTCCAATTCAATGATAATTTAACAAGAAAATTGTCACAGAGTCACAGAGATAACATCAAAACAACAACAACAACAAACATCCTAGTTATAACTGGATCTTTCTGTGACCTTTACCTTTTACAGTCGAA